TCTCTCTCTCTCTCTCTCTCTCTTTCTCTATCTCTCTCTGAGTCTCTCTCTCTCTCGTTCACGCACACACACACACACACACACACACACACACACACACACACAAACACACATATACACACAACTCGTTACTTCTACCCACTGTTACCCCCAGGGAACTGGTAACATACTAAGTACCGTCCTCTGTGCTGTAGCGGTAAGGCGCTTCACCGTCTTACACAGAAGACCAGAATTATATTCCCGTGTGGTGAGTATTTTGCACCGAGTATCTCAATATTTCTGCTGGGACATTGTACAGCTTGGGTTGACCCCGACAGGCCGGGCCGATGCCCACCTCCTAAAGTATCTAAATTGTGTTTGGTGGGGCGTAAAGCATCTACTTGTACATCTTAAAAATAAATACTAAGTAGGACCTTAGCCTCACACTCTTAAGATAGTTCCTGTAAAGCAAGGCCTGCAAAATTCTGGAGTAGTTATTGGTAGATAACATATCGACATTTAAAAATATGCTAAGTATGACATTGGGCTCAAATTTGAAGGTATTTTCAACAAAGTCAGGTCAGCGAAAAGTGGAGTTTGAGAGAGTTGGTAGGGTTTAGAAATTGATGGGTTTACTCCGAGGAGGGAGAACGTGAGTGAAGGTGAAAGGGGGGGGGGGAGGTTACACAACTAAATTAGATATAACATGAGGGAAGCACCTGAACGTGCTAGAACAATAACGACCCCTCTCCACACAAAGTAGTCCTTGACACAGTTTGTTATCAAAGATACAAAAGATCTATCCAATTCACACAATAATACCACTATGGGAACTCACAATGAAGCACACCATGGAATCATACAATTCAGACATAAGAACTCTGGCGCACAGCAACAACATGGAAATACATCTTGTTCACATTTTGCAGATATTTACACACGTTGACATTGAAAAAAAAAAACCAATAATGAAAGGACATGTATTAAGTACTTCGTGTCCTTAAGTATAGACCTGGTAAACGAAATTTCAAAAACAGTGCTGAGATGTTTAATCACTGAAATGACTGTACCGGAAAATAAAGTAAAAGATTTTGTTCTGTATAAACGTATGTTCACAATGAGCTACACAATACAACTGACCTTAAGTTCAAGACAGCTCTAACAACATATGGTTACATAGTTCAAGACAGCTCTAACATATGGTTACATGTAAACCATTTTTAAAGAACTGTGTCAGTGACTATACTACTGGAATAATCTTAATGTTCTGAAGTATACTTGTTGACATAGAATCTCTCCTAGAGTACTCAAAGCATACGAGGTGGGAAAGGTGGTGGGGGGGGGGGGGCGAGGGGTCAAAAAAATATGGTATATCGTTTTAATTTAGAAATAGATCACCAATTAACTTCTTCTGGTAAAAATATCCTTTTCCTCAACTCTTTTTTTGCAAAGAATATCAATATTCTAGGCATTTTAGAAGCGCTTTCTAATAAATAAAAAGGAAATGTCAGTAAACTATGGGTTTGTTGGGTTTTTTTCAACTATAAACTAATTTCTTCATGTTGCAAATTCGGAAGTGGCTTTCATTATGTTTACTTGAAAAACACTGTTCTGACCCAGGACATGCTTATATCAAAAATCATTTAACAGGTTCATGCTTCCGGCCAACGAATTATTTCATCACAAGGGACGGTGTAATGTTAAGTCCATTCTCCACAATAAGTACATGTACATAAGATACATTTCGTCACTTAAAAACTATAAGCGTTTATTTCCAAATCTAATGGAGATAAAGACTCATAGCTAAAAAGAAACGAATAGTTGACTTAGATCTGCAACACATTTCAATAAAAACATTGCTATTGTTTCGGTTCACACAGCTGATTTTTATACTTATACTACTTGTCCTCCCAGAAAGCCGTGACTCTCGTTTCTTAAACAGTTACAGTATGCCCTGGTGGGTATAATATTCCGCTTTCCGTCTTCCCACTAACGAAACTTTCTTCTCACTCTTGATGGGGGCTCTTCAGAATCTCCCGCACGTCAGATACTACAACTGGTCTGTTTTTGTTTGACCTAATTTTGCGTACCACGGTGTCTGATATAAGGGCAATGTTCTCCCGCTCTCAGTTTATAATTTAATCATTATCCCAGAAAATTAGATGCCCAGCTCCCCCTGTACAATTCTCAAGACTATCTGTCCAGCAGCCATCATAAATTACGGTGAATTATACAAAGAATTATTCGTTCCTGGGAGGATAACTAAGTCTAGAGGGTACAGCTTTGGTACTCTACTCATAGATTTGGGTTCGATCTAGGGCCAAACTGAGAAGGATGTCGTACAATTAGTATAATATGCTGCGATTATTTTCCTTAGCTCTCCCAGTGGGACAATGGTAACTGGCGATTTTGCAAAGACTGAAATAAATCGATAGGAGTGTTTGAGTATCTTACAGGCTGTGTCCGCACGTCGGTAATAGAGGTAAAAAACATTAGGTTGAATGAAGTTAGTATGACGTGTCGTGAACATTCGATTTAGAAGAGGAACAAGACTATAAACTATCACTTCAGCACTTGCAACCTTCAATTAACACTTTACAACCTGTAATTCAAAATCACAACCGTGCACCGTTACCTCAGCTCGGAATGTAAACTGTTCACTGACAAAGGCACTCACATCACAACCACGTTGGTGGACTGAGGAACATACGGGGACTCAATAAGGAAGCCTAAAATATCTGTAAATACCTGTAAGTTTGTCAAGAAAAGGGCTACGAAAATTCCACATGGTTAATTAGGTGTTCATATTATAGTTCACATTCATTTTGCGTCTAGTGCATAGTGTCGGCAAGCTGTTCAAGTGTTCTAAGCCCAGAAAACAACCTTTTTGCAATAGAGAGAGAAAGAAAGAGGAAGAGAGAGAGAGAGAGAGGGAGAGAGAGAGAGAGAGAGAGAGAGAGAGAGAGAGAGAGAGAGAGAGAGAGAGAGAGAGAGAATTTCATTTTTGTGTACAATTGTACCCTATTATGTATCTCCTCTTGCTTTCTTGTCCAAATTTCACATTCCAGTTGCGACAGAATATTCTTCGAGCACGTGCAACCGATACTACCGACTGAGAAATTGCAATTTCAAAAATGATAAATCAGTATTCGGGATTACTACATCTGAACAGCTAGACGACGATAGATGCAAACCATGTTGCCATGAAACTTAAGCAATTGACCTTTTCGTTAGAATCTCTATGGTGTCAGTCTCAGAATAAAGCAAGGTTGCCTCCGAAGTATAATGAGCCTTAAAGAGAGCTGAGGAAAAGCAAAATAATAGTCTTGGGTCCAGAATTCCCCATATTCTAATCAAAATCATTGGTGTTAAATACAAATCCAAGATATTCCACTGGAATTCCAGCCAGCTGAGTAGAGTCAGATACCATAAGAAACTTGTGTCTGTTCTTCGTATCTGGGTCCCTAAATAAAGCGCTTTCTTCTTCTTCTTCTTCTTCTTCTTCTTTTTCTTCTTCTTCTTCTTCTTCTTCTTCTTCTTCTTCTTCTTCTTCTTCTTCTTCGTCGTTGTCGTCGTCGTCCTCGTGGTAGTTGTCTTCTTCTTCTAAAAAGCTAAAACAAGAATCTATAGTTTCCCAGCTCTCTAAAAGCATGTCATTGTCGCCGTCATTATAATCAGTTTTACTTTCATCGTCGTCATTGTCATTACGTTCGTCAGAATCGTCGTCTTCGTCATTGTCCTGACTTTCAGACGTTTCTTGTGACTCTGAATTTTCTATTTGGCAAATGGTATGAATGACACTGGTGTTCATGCACTTTGTCAATTCTGGTTCCCATTCTACGTCTACTAGCACCGATTCTACCCCACTAAAACAAAATCTCTGGGTTTCCGTGAAGTCTAAATACGTTAGTGGAGAATATTCTAGATAGCTATCGTACTCAAACTCCATACATTCAATGAAAGAAGGACTTGTGACGTCATGGAGTGGTGAAGATGTTATAACTGATAATATTTCAACAGATGGAGATGAAATGACGCCACCCTTCTGAAGCCGGTGTCAGACCTCGTCTTCCTCTTCCTCTTCTTCGACAGGGGTCTTGTTACCAATCTTCTCCACTCCCCTGAAGGCCAGTTTCTGCGTCTGCTCGTAATCAAAATACGACAGAGGGTCGTCTTCTATGAAATCGTCGTATTCTAATTCTAGTCCGTCGACTTCCGACGGCGTTGTAATACTCCGGGCCGGAGAGGAGACTGTCGTTTTGCTGCCTTTGCTGCTGGTTTTACTCAGCTTTCCCGGACTAAAATGTTCTTTGTTGCTGCCAAATCTGCCAGGACTAGCTCGGGGGTCTTTTGGTTTGTCACCATTGGCATGATGAGCGTCTAGTTTCGGTTTTGTATCATTTTTGCTGCTGCCATTACGCACAGGCGCAGCGTTGGCAGGAGCAGGTTCTTGCATGATACTCGAAGACGTGGCATTGTTCGTGTTACGGGTGTCCGTTGGATCCTGATGACGAGGTGGTTTTGGACTTTGTCCATCGGGTTTCGGCAACATTGCTTGTCTTTCCTCGCACGCTGATTGTTTGGAAATGTCTTTACTTCCTGTGGGTTTTGTAAAGGTTGTACGAGGCGCTGAAAAAACTGGAGGTCTGGGTCTGGGATACAGAGTGGATGCAGATGTTGATGATGCTGAAGAAGGTGGTACGGTTTCGGGGGTATTTACATGTAACACTGCGGCTGTCGACGCAGAAGATTGCACTGGTTTCGTAAGCTCGGACAAATCAGACGGTTTGTCGGATGATGACTCGTCGTTTCCAATCGGCCCAGAAAACTGAGCTGATTCAGTCATACTGTCTGACCTGGACTTTGGCCTAGGCACTACGTCGTTCGAGTAGGACTCGGTCAAGGACGTTGGGCGACGGGCTTTGCCGGGTCGGTTGAACGAAGTGGTGGCTGAATCCACCGAGTCACTCTTGACTAAGTCGTTGATGTGAGACGGAGATTCCTGACTAGAATATGACTCAATGAGCGGGATTTCCTCTGAAGGTGGCCGCTGACCCGTTTTATTCTTGTACTTATCCGAAGAAAATGTCCGACCTACTTCGTTCAACGCCGCACGAACAAACCCGGGATGTGGCCAGTTCACTTCGGCCTTGGTCGTCGAAGGTGTCCTTGATCTCTGGGTAGAGGATCCTGACGACCCCGTGACCTCGCGGTCAATGTCAGAAACGGCTGCTTTGCCCTTTTTGTCTTTTTCGTGGCGTTTCTTATTGAGAAGATCTAGTTTTGAGATCGGAGACAAGGGCGTGACTGGAGAGTGCTTATTCCCTAAAGACTGTATACGCGCTGCTCGTGGCGATTTCGCAAAAGCAGAGGGCGTTTTCAAAGTAACCGAGGGATCGTCGGTGTCTATGATTTCAATACCATACGGGTTGGTTGATGACGAATAGTTTTTCGCTTTCATCTTCGGCGTTCCTCCTGAGCTGTGACCTGAAGGCGTGATCGAGCCGTCCCCTTTCCCTTTGTGGCGTTTTACCTTCTGGCTGCTGGTGCTGGAAATGCTTGGCGTCCTCCCCGAGCGCCCTTGTTTGTGGGTTGGGGAATTCCCACTGTTCTTTCTCCGGGTTTTTCCCGTCAGAGGGACGTCCATGTCTACGTGAATTCCCGCACCGGGACTGCTCGGGCTACTGCTGCTCTGCGCACTGGAGACCTGCAACAGAGACGTGGAATGAACTTGTAAGATGATTGATAGAAATAGTAAGTTGATTAGACATGAATCCGATACGTTATGGCTATACATGTGAGTTTGTCAATATTGATTATAAGATGAATCAATGTAACGGTTAGTAATTAAATGTTAGCCTTGTTTGTATGTTTGATAGAGTGAGAAACAGACTGGGAGAGATAGAGATATAGCGAGAGAGGGGGGGGGCAAGGGAAGGAGTAAGAGGGACGGTGAGGGAGAAAGAGAGAGGAGGAAAGAGAGGGAGAGAGAGATGGAGGGAGGGAGAGAGAGAGGGGAAAGGGAGGGGGGAGACAAATATAAACAAAAGTTGATCAGTGATTTAAAAATGAAATGAGGTCTGTGACCCGATAAAAAGCGTTATCAGTCTGGAATTTTTACCACTTAGAAAAGAAATGTATCGCAAATTTGAAAAATTCTTCTCTTTAGTTAAATCTTAAACAAACCTCAAGTTTTACAGTAAAAAAAGTGCAAGGACTTGAAACAATACAAATCTGAACATAATTCGTCAATAGAAAGAATTACACCTTTTAGAGATGAATTACTCTACTATTCGAAACCATTGGAGAGCATTTTAATGAATACTTCACGGTTCAAACGTGAATGAGTGAACGAATGACCCTTTATTGATCCCTGGTGAGAATGTTAAATAAATAGTCATGGTCACGAGTTGACAACGAGTACATCAGTGAATATTCTCTCTCTGTTTCTGTCTCTGTCTGTCAGACTGTCTATCTGTCTGTCTGTCTGTCTGTCTGTCTGTCTGTCTGTCTGTCTGTCTGTCTGTCTGTCTGTCTGTCTGTCTGTCTGTCTGTCTGTCTGTCTGTCTGTCTGTCTGACTTTCTCTCTCTCTCTCTCTCTCTCTCTCTCTCTCTCTCTCTCTCTCTCTCTCTCTCTCTCACACCCGCACACACACACACACACACACACATACAAACACACACACACACACACACACACACACACACACACACACACACACACACACGTTCTTTCCCCCACACGTTCTCTCTCTCATGTTCTCTCTCCCTCTCTCTCTCCCTCTCTCTCTCACTCTCTCTCTCTCTCTCACTCTCTCTCTCTCTCTCCCTCTCTCTCTCTCTCTCTCTCTCCCACTCTCTCTCTCTCTCTCTCCATCACTCTGTGTGTGTGTGTGTGTGTGTGTGTGTGTGTGTGTGTGTGTGTGTGTGTGTGTGTGTGTGTGTGTGTGTTTGTATGTATTTGTGTGCTTGTCTATGCTGCCTAAAGTGAAGAATGTAGCAACATTTTTGGCATAACTCGTTTGTCCTCTATTGTTTTGTGATATTAACCTACCACTTTGTTCAAATGTGCAATATTCGGATTCGTGACGTGGCTTTCATCTTGAATTATATAATAATAGTGTTGTATCAATTTTTGTAGAGAGATAGTTCTTGCTTAATGGAATCATTTTAACGTTAGCCAAAGGGGGAGAAAATAATAATAATATGAGGCTTCACGAATTAGAAATGCTAAGGCTAAGATATATACCTGCAACCTGCACACATCCGCAAGTGTAGATGAAAATTTTTAATGCTCAAAATGTGACAAAATCTTCTCTGCCAGAATTGGTCTCAATAGCCATAGCAGAAGCCCCATATTATTATCTCTATTCTTTTTTTTATTTATATTTTTCTTTAAGAAGTATTCTCCCATACAGCTACACTGATCATCTTCGAACTTTGACCCCGACGAACTATTATTATTACTATAGTTGAAAACAGAAAACGAGTGACTCCTCTAAAATACCTGATGTTCAGAAGTGGAGCCTTTCAGATTGGCGTGGGCTGGGCTCTCCCCTGACATGGTCATGGAGTACTTGATGCGACGTTTGAAGAAGGTACGCTGGAGAACCACGAAGATAACGGCAACGAGAATGACCGCTACACAGATGACGATTCCGACGATGGTCACTGCGCTGCCCAGTAAGGTCTTCTCTTCGTACTGGTACAGGATAGTGGCCGTACTGCTGAGAGGGATCGCTGGAAGATTGGGGGGGGGGGGGGTTGTTAGACACATGTTGGTGTTACTACTTTTGTTTTGTTTTGTTTTTTAGCGGAAGGGGGCGGCTTAGCTCCTGAGTTGCGTTTTCTCGCCAAGAAACGTCTTTGACCTCCACCAAACTTCTCGAAAACTATTTAATTCCAGTCCTGAGTAAACACTCACCTGTCCATATTTTAATCATTAAATATAAAGGATGCATTGTTTTCTCAAAGCCGATTCTAAGTTTTATCAAATATAGCCAAATAATTGCCGTGAACAATTGAATTCACGGAGACGTCACTCACCCTGTGACGGTCCCTTTCCGTTGCTAGGTTACTAATACTTAGAGCCAAGACTATAATACTCAAAGGGATGGGGTTTTTTCCTCTTTTTTATGCATTGTTTGTTTTGCGGATTTTTTTTTTAGATATGAAAAGACTTTATGCCTGTAGACTCAAGTAAATGTCATTATATCCGGTATTATTATACAAGACTTCAATAGTTTGTATTTCAACTCGAATTCCCAATACATTAAATTGTCTTTATTAAGAGGTAGGCAACAGAGCTTTGCGAAGGAAGGTCAAAAGAGTACCAAGGGAAGCAATTCCCTCGGTCTGGTAAAGTTACACAAGAACAATGCGGTTATGTTTCTTTGAGCATGACAAGAAAACTTGTCAGGGTGGAGTTCAGGGCAGCATTTACAGTTGGGCGTGGTGAGGCCTGGATGTTCAAGGTCGTAGTAAAAATGAAATTGGAGAAAATTTACGTCCCCAACGACACTTTTTAGATCATTTAGGATATGGGCTGCTTCGAGCCTGCCTATCAGGGTCAGCCCAGGATGAGAGGGGTACAATATCCAACTAGATAGACGGAGACACTCTATAAAATTCTCCCCGCAAGAGAATAGAATTCTCGTCTTCTGCATGCAACGGCTCAACCCCAAACAACTATACCACAGACGCTGGTTTCGAGCTCTTGAATGTATCAAATTTAAAGAATACTCAATGGACAGACAATTTCAGTCTTTAAAAAAATTATAAACAAACAGAATACCTCCCTCCTTATATTTAGAATGCAGATGAACGTAATTTTTGTGATGTATTTCAGTTGAATCACTGTGTGTCTGCTGTAATCTGAAAGAAGTTCTATCGAGAATGGAACCTTGGCCTTGAGTTTCCATCATTGGTTCAGTTTTTCTTTAATTTTTTTTTTTCCTTTTTAAGAACTTTTTAAGAAAGGATAGAAAGGGCAGTAACAAGACTTAAAAAACGGAGGAAATAATAGTGCAGACTAAAACCTGGTTTGTTTTTCTTTTGTAATTTGTGTTTGTTTTGTTATCTGTGTTTAGTCTGTGTGTGTGTGTGTGTGTGTGTGTGTGTGTGTGTGTGTGTGTGTGTGTGTGTGTGTGTGTGTGTATGTGTGTAAGTGTGTGTGAGAGAGAGTGTTATTTATTTTGTTTTCTCTTTTTTTTTTGGGGGGGGGGGTTCTGTTGGGGGGGGGGGGGTTCTTTTTTTCTTTTTTTTTTTTGCTGTTTGTTTGTTTTGCGAATGTTTTGGAACTTTTTGTAATTATAGGGTACCAAAGACAAAGAAAGAGCCAGAACTAACGGTCAGAAAAAGCCAGACAACAGACAGAAATACAAAACATCCAGATGGTAGAATCTACCAGCAGCAGTTTCTCCTTACAACCATCGAATCAAGGAGATCTGTAATACCTTTGATGTTGTAGCTGGCAATAAACCCATGCGCGTGGATGGGCAATGAAGCGTTCTTCGGGAATATGGCGGCTGGGGGTGGTGTGACGTAGAAGGTCATGAACTCTACCCTCATGACCCGACCAGAAGTGATCTCTGCCGGGTATCCCTTGTTTGTAGAGGAGAAGAGCAAATCGTCACTGGCTTTTCCGCCGTTCCTGATCTTGACCCACTGGCGAGTGTAGTTGAGGTTGAAGTAATCGAACCGCAGACTCACAGCGCTCCCCTCCGGGCCCTCCACCAGCCACGCAGACAGACCATGGCAACGGCCAGTGGCGATTATCTCCCCTGTGACTTCTGTTTTCGAACAGCCGCATGCGCAGTTCTTGTCTATAGGGGGCGAGTGGAGAGGAGTGCGGGGTATGGACTCTGCAGACGGGAAGGAAGAAGATACATGTTAAATAATATGGTCCAAGTATTAAGAAAGCAAAAGGCTTTATGTTCCATGGAAAGATTCCCTCTCTCTTTCTCTCTCTCGCTCTCGCTCTCGCTCTCACTCTCTCTCTCTCTCTCTCTCTCTCTCTCTCTCTCTCTCTCTCTCTCTCTCTCTCTCTCTCTCTCTGTCTCTCTCTCTCCTGCTCTCTCTTTCTAAACATAGATAGTTAAAAAATCAATTATTTTCCTTCACTATATTCAGGAAAATATTATTGTATGCAGTGAAGACACCTGACATTCTTAACTTTGGCCTAAGTCCTAGCGGAAAAAGTTACAAAGGCTTAATAAATACTACGGTTGCATAGTTAAGATAAAGTCGGTGGCCTAGTGGTTAGGCTCTCGGACTCGCAACCGTAAGGTCGTGGGTGCGAATCCCGTCTGTGGCCCAACGTTATGTCCTTGGGAAAGGCACTTTACACGAATTTTCCTCACTTCACCCAGGTGGGAATGGGTACCCGGCTATAGACAGTGAACGATCTTGTCAATTTGATAGTGTTTGAGCGCGTGAAATCCGCAGCTTGCATTGTATGCTTCTGCAGAAGCAGAGAATGTTTCAGAGTGTTCTCAAAGGGTCTGCTGGGGTAATAATAGTTGTAAGGCGCATAGTGCATGCTCTTGAGCATGGATATGCGCTATATAAATGCAATTATTATTAATTATTAATTATTATTATATAATATGGTTTGGGGTAACTCAGCCGGATAGAGAATTGTTTCCTTTGTTCTATTTCTAAATCTGTTCCACCCACTTACTAACCCCTAGGCACCCCAGCGTCTATCACTCACTCACCTGGACAGTGCACTTTACAAGGCGTCCACTCCATCGGCTCTCCTTCGCAGAAACGTCCGCCATGTTTGGGGGCGGGGTCGTTGCATATCCGGTACCGGTTCTGCTTCCCGGTCCCGCACGTGACGGAGCAGGAGGTCCAGGGCGTCCATGTGCTCCAGCCGCCATCTTGGGGGAACACTGGGGACAAGACGAGAGGAACAATTTACTTTTTCAGACGGAATGAGAACTCGACAATATTATTAGCATAATTTTAGTGTGCTTTACGGCAGTATGAGATGTCAATCGTACTAACTGCACTTCATGCGTCTCAGAGAGCAGAAATCATTATGTCTAATTTTATTAACTATGCACTCACATGTCACAAGTGGAAATGAAGCTCAATAATATGCGAGGCAGCGTGGTGGAATCAGGCTCTCGTCAAAATAATCAAAGTGAAGAAACTTGCATTTTCCAACAGGTTTGCGAATGTTTATCAAATTTTTGTTTTTGGGCTCATCACCTTTCACGCCTATTGAAGAACTCATATATGTGTGGATTATTCTGAAAAGCGTTGATTAAAGGCAAAAAAAAATTAAATTTTCAGTTACTACGGACTTTTAAGCTAAGGAAACAACTAAATTTTTGTGGCCATTTTCACCTCTGGAAACAGGTGACCCCCATCTCCTTCTTTCGCAAATATCTCGACTTGTATTCAAGATTAATGGATATTTTTTTTCATCCAAATAAAGACAAGTGAACAAGCTTTAAGATGATACCAATAACTCTACATGCCCAAAAATTGACGAGAGCCTGATTCCACCACGCTGCCTCACATAAGTGGCAAAGACATCTCTGCCACGATTATTGGTCTCATTGAACATAGCAGACGCCCAAAATAATTTTGATCCATAGTTTGGGTTTGTTTTATGGGGGGTGGGAGGGGGGAGGGGGGAGGGGGGAGGGGGAGGGGGGTTCAAACTTTGCTTAAGAAGTATTCTCCTCTGCAGACGCATTGGTCATTGTCAGACATTGGCGGACGAATTATTAGTACGAATGTCTTGCCGCCATTTCTCATTCAGAATATAAGTAATTTATACTATAACAAGAGGTTGGTCCAGGGGAACAGGTAACAACAAGATAATAAATTCGACGAATTCATGCTATTTACACAGCCCTAATAATGACTGCAGTTGACGATTAACAGTATAGGACATTGGACTCAAGTTGTCAGTCTCTATCAGTTTTCTGAGTGGTAATGAGCGCTTAAAACCAGTCGAACTTTCTCTAACGACTACCCAGTGTCCATGAGAAAAATGATCGTATTGGGTAGGTGGTCTTATTGTACAGAGTCGTTATGATTATAATGAAATGGAAAAAAAGGCTCGGGGTGAAGTGGGAAGAGAAGAGGTCGCTTATAAAGTTGATTGTCTTGGACAGGTGCTCGCTTGAGCAGATTCAACTTCACTTACAGTCTTTTCCAACCCACAGGCTACAATCACAATGAGAATAAAGAGTTTTTGACAGATTCTGTCCTCAAAACCTCGAGTCATGGCATGTTTTCAAAGTGAACAAAACATAAACGTTTCTACTGACGTCGATTGTATGCCACACAACTGTAATACGTCTAGACAAAAGCTCATGCATTTGAACAAGTAACAGAGCTGAAAACAAAACGTAAGCTGGTCCTGTCGCAGAATGTTGAGATGTATTCATCGACACACCAAATTGGTCTACCACTCAGCATAAAGAGGAAAACCTAAAAGCAACCAGATTGACGACATGAATTAACAAAAATAAACAGAACAAGAATGGCAGCAACAACTTCATCAACAACAGTAATAATGACAACGAGATAACAAGAAATGACGTATACTAAACATGACTACCAAAAAAAAAATCCCCAGGATCTAGCCTTCTCCGATAAGGACAAAAAAATCTCTGAGGCCCCTGATGCACGTTGCGAACTTTAAATACCCCTTGATGCTCGAAATCGTATAAAAGAATACGCTGTTGGGCCGCCAGCCGTGTAAAATTCAAAATTTAGATGGAAACAAAATCTTATCTTTAAAATATCCCATTTACAACAGACCAGTAAAATAGTAAGACACTCCCTTGCACCTTCCTTGATTCCAAACGTATTGACAATGTCTCAAACATACGAAATAATGTGATCTGAAGGTAAGGAAGTAGTAGCTTGGGCAACCTTCTTCCTCTACGTCTATCGCCCAGGCAAAACCGTTTCATGAATATATCGTTTGCAAAGACGCAAAAGGAACTAGAAGAGTAAAAATCATTGAAAAGTTTCCTTTTCTTCACTAGTTAAATATCGTTTTCGTGAAATAATTACACAAAAAACTCTTCAATCACAAACGGAAAGGTATGACGGACACAAGCAGCCTCTGAGAACAGGTTGGGCTCTCACAGCAAGGGTAAAGGGAATATGGTGATATCTTTATGAGAAACAATTTACTCATGCCTCCATGAACATCATCATTATCATCATCAACATCACCAACATAAACCACCACAACAACAACAAAAAGAATAGCAAACATTTAAAACGACATAACAACAACAACAACAACAGCAACAACATCAACAACAACAACAACAACAACAGCAGCAGCAGCAGCAGCAGCAGCTGGAACAATGGCAAAGACATCGAACATCTAAGATAGTGCGATTACAAAGCCAACTGTTTACTCCATTTGACAACAGAAAGATAGGCCGTGCTGCCTCGAACATTTACCGATAGATCAATAACTAACAGAATGCTGTTGGCGCGACTCTCTAAAGGCACATCTCATGCAAATCTGGGCACATTACAGCATGCTGTTTGTTGACGCTCCAAATGAAATCAAAGCAAGAGTACCGAAATCAGAAGAGAAGCACAGTCTATTTCTTCTGTATACAAAGTGTACCTCCAGTTATTTGTAACTCTTGTAAATAAATCAACCAAAGCTTGCTTTTTCACCCTTGATATCAAATTTGCATTGGTCACCCCACCCATAGTAGTTTTATTTAACGAAAACTCAGACTAAGTACCCCCTTACCCCTTCCCCTCTCCCTTCAAATCTTCCCTCACTTAGAGTTATGCAATCTACTTCCACGGAGTCTACCATCCTGGTAAATTTTGTAAAATCGTCTGTCAAGACGCATAAGTCCATAGATTTCTTGTCTGAAATACTAAAAATATCCCCCCCCCCTCCCCGATGTGATGTCATACTATGGGCAACATTATGACAAAACTGTATGTATAATAATATATCCATCTTCACCCCATTATTCCTTCATAAAACTTGGATTCATGGACCGTGAAAAACACTCTATTGAAAGAGAACACAACACGAGACGAAGAAAGCACATATACAATCAAATGACATGGCCGAAAAGAATAAAACGTTCACGAGATGTTTTTACGAGACTTCGTTCACTCACCGTGAGTTCGTCCAAAGGAAAGCGTGTGATGAGACATTGAAGGAGAGAAGTTAGTCTCACAACCACCCATTTTCACACATTCATACACATATTGTTATTTCTCTTCTTCGCAAATTCTCATTTTGCAAAGCGACATTTTAAATAGTGTTAGAAAGTAACGCCTTTTAAGTTGTGTTAGTTTATTGAATACATAATAATGTATCCTTTCAAGTCTAATACCCCCCAAACCAATCTACCCCCCCCAAAAAAAAAATTTTTTTTTTTTAATTTCCAAATTTTATCACGGTACCGTTGTGACATTTTTAGTTTGTATGATGTTAGAAGAATTACAGCAGCAAGATTGTTGTTGACTTTGTTTGGAATTTATTTGGGCATTTTCAGCTCACTTGGAAGAGCCAAAAATAGGTGGATTCTAACTGAAGATTGCTCTGTGCGCCAAAGAAAGCGCGAGAAAGCAAATACCTTTTCGTTGCGGTCAATTGCAATGTAACCTCCAGTCCCTTTTTTTTCACTCCATCACTTGTATTTTTATGTTTCTACTTCCTTTTTAATTGATCTTTAGGTCCTATTTCCTTACAACCACAATGAATACGACTTGAAATATTTTCTTTACTTTAAAAGGGAAGCAACAATAGTCACTCTCAACTGAGCTTTTAGTGTACAGAGTTATTTCCCCTGCTTACAAATCTTTGTCAAGTTGTTGAAGCAGAGATTAAAGAATTCTGATTTTTAATTTTAAGTTGATTTCTTGTGTTTGCTACAGATACTTTCTTTCTTCTCTTCTTTTTGTTTTGTTTTGTTTTGTTTGTTCCATTCCCGTTCTCTTTGTACTTGTTTAACTTCTGTCTCACATTCCCCTTTTTCTGGCTTTCTATTTTTTTACAGGTTTTTATAACTTAGTTGTAGATGTTGTTGGTGTTAAAACTGTTGTTGGTGTTGGTGATGGTGGATGTGTTGCAATCATGGAATTCTTTGTTGCAATGCTTTTGATATATTTTAGGGCCTTCTGAGTTGCATTTACTTTAGGAAGGGATGGATACTGGCTTGTTTTCTCCATTTGATTTCCAAATGAAAGGAACGTCTGTACAGTGTTTTAGTTGTGGGTTTTTTATACTGTTAGATGGTGAGTTTGTTTGTGGGTTTGTTGATGAGTTTGTTGGTGAGTTTGTTGGTGAGTCTCTGTATGAGTTTGTTTGTGAGTTTGTTTGTGAGTTTGTTTACGAGTTTGTTTCTGAGTCTGTTTCTGTTAATGAGTTTGTTTGTGAGCTTGTTTGTGGGTCTGTTTATGAGTATGTTTGTGAGTTTGTTTGTGAGTTTTCTTGATTACCCTCATTATGCGACATGTATATGTACTCACCTGAGTCAGGTCTGGCGGAGACGCACAATTCTCTTTGCACTGTGAAGGAATTTTTTCTCGTCACACTGACATACACGAAGCAAAATCCTGCTGCTGATTGGTTGAACACAGAGCACTGGAATGTCACTTGTGTTTCGTCTGGCCTCGCCTCTTTTTCTTCGATATACTGTCGATGCAACGGCGAGGCGAAGCTCCCTTCAGCAGTTCGTGTCAGAGAGTACGCCCTGATTTTGTCCTTCCCTGAACACGATGGATGGGTGTATGTGATCTTGGCGCTGTTGACACATGGGAAGATAGTGTGGCTGCGAGATCGGAGAAGGAGATGGTAGGCTGTGCTCCACTTCACAGACATTGTGTAGCTCTTGGCGACAATAGGGCTCGAAGATGAACTGGACACCATGACAGCTTGGTAGTAACCGTCCAGGTCAAAAAGGTGACACCCTAAAGTGATCACTGTGAAAGCGTTGTTAACTTTCGTGAAGTTTCTTTGCTGTAAAAGCGTCGCCTTTGACAGGTCTAGGTTTGAGGTATCCACAGGCTCCTGTTGGAAATATAACCTGACCAACAGATAATGGCGACGGAGGACGGAGGTACAGTTTGCTTTCGAGATTATCTGTAAATCTACAGCTGTCGTCTGCGCTTCGTGTTCGTCTGGGAGTGACAGGACGATTTCCGGCCATCTCACATCGAGGCTCGTTTCCGTGAGGAGGTCGCCGTGAGCCCTGGAGAACATCTTGAGGCTGAAAGTGCCGGCGAACTCGATGACCCCGCAGGCCACACGGAGATTCCCAGATTTTTTACCAAGGGTCAACCCCATCGTAGTGATCACTAGCGGCTCTTTGTTACCCTGTGGAGGGCAAATAGAGATAAAATAAATAATTTTGAATGTTTCTATTTGCTTGAAGAAAAAAGAAACCAGCTTTGAGTTCAAAAGATCACACTGCATAAGAGAGGTAAACATTTTTTTAAAACACAGAAATAACTGGATACCCAGAATGAGGAAAACAACAGCATAAGTATTCAGTTTCTTTTTTACTTAATATGGAACATAGACTTCTGTGTGGCTTATTATTCCATATCCGATAATCGATAACAATAGTTAAGAGTGAATCTGAAAGCTAAGCAGAAAACCAATAGCAAGCATCCGAACTTCAGCTTGCATTCCCTAGTTGTAAGGGGTTGAATTGTTAGGAATTAAAATTGTATAAAACAACAAATTACGTTACAGTCAACAAGCAAATGCAATTGTGAAGCAATCCAGTGTGATCGGCAGTGTTACGTCTACTCCACCGACAGCACAAATTATTTATGTGGGAGTCTGTTTTCGTTTTAGTAAGAGTTTTACGACACTTGCAAAACTACTAGAATTAGGTCATACATGTGCCGAAGATTGGAGATATAATAAGAGAGTAACATAATAATAGATAGCATTTGTATAGCGCAATTCCCTGCTCAACAGCTGTGCAGCTTTATGCGCTTTACAATCTGTGGTGAGGCAGCGTGGTGGAATCAGGCTCTCGTCAATTTTGGGGCATATTGAGATATTGGTATCATCTTAAAGCTTGTTCATTTGTCTGGCTTTAAATGAAAAAATTACCCATCCATCTTCAATAGAAGTGGAGATATTTTGGATTGAAAGGAGGTGGGGGTCACCTGGTTTAAGATGTAAAACTAGAGAGAAAATGGCCGCCACAGCGTGGTAAATTCCAAAGCTGGAGAGTCCATGACAACTGTAAATTTATATTTGTGTGCCTTTAATCAACGTTTTCGGTGAAATCCTCAAAGGAATGTGTTTGTAAATAGACATAAAAGTTGTTGAGCCAAAAAACAAAAATTTGATAAAAATTGCTAAGCAGGGAGAAAACTGCTGTTTTCTTCGATTTCATTATTTTGACGAGAGCCTGATTCCACCACGCTGCCTCACATCTGTTATTACCCCAGCAGACCTGATAGCATTCTGAAACAATCTCAACTTCCTGGGAAGCATAAAGGAGCCAACCCCCATCAAAGCACCTTAGTATGGTGTTAGATTAGTAGGCATAGAGAACCCCCAAAATTATTGTTATTAAAAATCGAACCCCACCAGAACACACAAGTATGGTGTTAGATTTATGCAAAGCTAAAAAAAAAAAAGATCATTCGGTTACATTAAGGAGCAAACCCCATCAGAGCATACAAGTATGTTGTTAGATTGGTACAAACCCATTCAGAGCATACAAGTATGTTGTTAGATTGGTACAAACCCCCAACGTGTTACTCACCGGTCGCTGGAAATCCAGTCTGACAAAGGCGTGGGGTAAAGACACGCCCCCTGGCATGGTGTAGTTAATGCTGAGGTCACCAGAAAACACGACATACCGGGCCGGGGGCGTCAGGGAGTACTGTGAACCTGAACAAGGAAGAAGACAAAGACATGCATGTAAACTGATGCTACACTTACTAAATAACTTGATCATTACTACAAACAATACAGTCGAAATTTCTCAAGATGCTAATGGCAATGTTAGTCGTCTGAAGACAGATCTATACCCTCTTCGACCACCCATCCACATCGAGTAGAAATGTGGGAGCCTTTTTTGCCAGGTGAAAGTTTAGGACACTGTCATTATAATATTTAAAATCACAAAAAGGGTGGGGGGGGGGGGGGGGGGGGTGGCCGTTAGACACATGTTGGTGTTACTACTTTTGTTTTGTTTTGTTTTTTAGCGGAAGGGGGCGGCTTAGCTCCTGAGTTGCGTTTTCTCGCCAAGAAACGTCTTTGACCTCCACCAAACTTCTCGAAAACTATTTAATTCCAGTCCTGAGTAAACACTCACCTGTCCATATTTTAATCATTAAATATAAAGGATGCATTGTTTTCTCAAAGCCGATTCTAAGTTTTATCAAATATAGCCAAATAATTGCCGTGAACAATTGAATTCACGGAGACGTCACTCACCCTGTGACGGTCCCTTTCCGTTGCTAGGTTACTAATACTTAGAGCCAAGACTATAATACTCAAAGGGATGGGGTTTTTTCCTCTTTTTTATGCATTGTTTGTTTTGCGGATTTTTTTTTTAGATATGAAAAGACTTTATGCCTGTAGACTCAAGTAAATGTCATTATATCCGGTATTATTATACAAGACTTCAATAGTTTGTATTTCAATTCGAATTCGCAATACATTAAATTTTCTTTATTAAAAGGGAAGCAACAGAGCTTTGCGAAGGAAGGTCAAAAGAGTACCAAGGGAAGCAATTCCCTCGGTCTGGTAAAGTTACACAAGAACAATGCGGTTATGTTTCTTTGAGCATGACAAGAAAACTTGTCAGGGTGGAGTTCAGGGCAGCATTTACAGTTGGGCGTGGTGAGGCCTGGATGTTCAAGGTCGTAGTAAAAATGAAATTGGAGAAAATTTACGTCCCCAACGACACTTTTTAGATCATTTAGGATATGGGCTGCTTCGAGCCTGCCTATCAGGGTCAGCCCAGGATGAGAGGGGTACAATATCCAACTAGATAGACGGAGACACTCTATAAAATTCTCCCCGCAAGAGAATAGAATTCTCGTCTTCTGCATGCAACGGCTCAACCCCAAACAACTATACCACAGACGCTGGTTTCGAGCTCTTGAATGTATCAAATTTAAAGAATACTCAATGGACAGACAATTTCAGTCTTTAAAAAAATTATAAACAAACAGAATACCTCCCTCCTTATATTTAGAATGCAGATGAACGTAATTTTTGTGATGTATTTCAGTTGAATCACTGTGTGTCTGCTGTAATCTGAAAGAAGTTCTATCGAGAATGGAACCTTGGCCTTGAGTTTCCATCATTGGTTCAGTTTTTCTTTAATTTTTTTTTTTCCTTTTTAAGAACTTTTTAAGAAAGGATAGAAGGAGAGGTAACAAGACTTAAAAAACGGAGGAAATAATAGTGCAGACTAAAACCTGGTTTGTTTTTCTTTTGTAATTTGTGTTTGTTTTGTT